AAGAACTTTAAATTTTGCATCCAATTTCAAATGTTTTAAATCAGTTATGACAACTGAAATGATGCCACATAAAAGTTACACCACCAAGCTAACATATCTGCTCTTTCAATAGTGCGGTGTCACAGTTTTATGTTTTTTGGTTTTCAGTATTCTGCATCATAACATCATGTGGTGCACTGGGAGTTAAAGTGTTAATGCTCCAATTCCAGGCACCTATCCCTATATATTATGGAAGTCATGGCATCTGGCCCTTCCAGGTGGGGCGCTCTCTTACTGCCTGGCAGTGAGTGTTGGAAGGTGCTTTCCTAGCCGTTCCAAGCTTTTCAGGTTTGACTCGGTCTCAGGAACTCTCTCTCTCCTATCTTATTTGATTTATTAGTCTCAATTTCAATTAGATTGTATTATACTGTGTTATCTTCCATTCCGATATCATAGTTAGTAAAATAAGTTTTCCTCATAGATTATTGATGCTGGTTTTTTTCCTTCATTCCCATTTTGTGGGGCCGGGGGAAGGGGGTGGGGAGTGGGTCAGGAGCCTACTGCCCCCCTATCACAGGCATCGATTTATTTAGTTAACTCTGTGACATGTTAGAAGAGCAGTTCAAGCTGGATATTCAGACATTGTTCCTATGCAACATTTCTGTCTTAGAAATTATTTCTACATTAATAATGGCCCCATGGCTCCCATGAACTTACCACTTACTACAGGGCTCTTCCATAGGACTGAATCCTAAATCAATCATAGAATCTTAGCAGTGTACCCCATTACAGTTTCCTCTTGCATCCCAAACCTCTCTGCCAGCCCACACTAACATTTATGTTTTAATGGTCATTCTTACTCTCACAGTACAGTAACGTGATACCTTATTTATTAATAATCTTGCACAAATGTATAGTGCAAACATAGGTATCCTTGTTACTCTTCCTATGGAGAGTTGAAGGATTTTTTTTTTATTTGTCAGGCAGTTTGTGCATCCAGTTGGTCCCAAATAACAATGAATAATATCCAGATACGTTAAAAATAATTATAACTCTGTGAAATATTGTACCACTACAAAGTTCCAGATTTGTTGCATATTTCTAACAGATAAAGTGAAGCAGACATAGACTAGGCTTATAGGTACACCAGGAAATTTCTACATCAAATGTCTTTTCGAAGAAAAAGACTTGCCACTGCTTAGTCTCAAAAAATATCCCGTTTACCCATTTCATGCCATAGCTATGGAAAATTATCAATTAATAGTCCTTCAAGAGGAAAGCAATATTCAAGGAACTGAACCCAGAGTCATTTACTACTCTCAGATAAAACATTTGTGTATCAAGCATCTCTTCTTAACCACAGAAATAAAATAGAAGTAGCCTGGCCATACTAATATAGCTAAGTGATAAATTTGTTTCTAGAGAACAAATGATAACTTAAAAAGCATACAAGAATAAACTATTCAGGATTCAAGAAAAAAAATGTTTTGGAAATACATATAGGCAGTCATTTGATTTTAGTCCATTACAGCTTTCTTTGGTTGGGGGTTATTTGTTCAATGGTTTGATCTAGATGTGTGATTTCTGTATGTCTACAAAAGTTCATCTAGTTGACGGAAATTTCCAGTTCCTCAGAATATTATGAATATTACCAGAACATTTTCAGCAGATTTTATCATTTTTCTAAGAATAAAATATCTGACTTGCTAACATATTTCTTCCATGCATGAAGATGTTGTTATCTACAATACCACCATCTGAAGCTTTGAAAAGTCTAGTTTTTGTTATTTTAAACCATTTCCATTTGGAAAGAGAAAACAAAAAATGAGAAACAAGGAAATTGATAGCACTTCCGTGTTTTATGTTTTTGAATCTGACACACCAGAAAAATTTGCAGTAATCACAGTAATTACAACTTTTCATTCAACATACAGACCAGTGAAAGCTGATTCAAAATCCAGCTTGACATCTGGAAAATAGGGAAAAAAATGCGTAAAATGAAGCACTAGTCACCAATTGCGTATAACATTACAAAATAAGGGAATCTTCAATTACTTATAAGAATTTTCCATCTGTCAGCTGAGAGTGAGGAGCTTACATGAACTGTTTTAATAAGAAACCAAGATTTAAATAAAGAAATGTTTCCAGCTCAGAAGGGAACATATATTGTCAAATATAAATAGACTTTGTAAATGGGAGGAAATAATCAAACGTTTCAGACCTGATGTTCTCAAGTCTGATAATGGAAGTCAAAGTACGTAGTAGGAATTGACAGACAGTAGAAGACTCTCTCTGTAATGTATTTTTGTTGTTGAATCAGTTTTAAATGTCTATTAAAATTATACAATTGTTCACTAGTACATTTACTGATTTTAACTTTGCATAAAAGAAAGTCCATTGTAGTTTACTCCAACATAAATAATATATAAAACAATAATAATTATTATTTTTTCCTGCTCTAAACAATGTTGAGCAGATGAATATTTTCTTCAATTTTCCATTTTAGTGAAAAGATGTGAAAAGTTCTTTTAGTTATCAAGCTGAAGTGTCCTTAACATTTGTACTCAGAGCCAACATTTCTGCAAGTGTACTATATTAGCTATTTTATTCGTTTTCCTGACAGCTCAGAGACAGGGCCTCCTAATGTGTCATCAGTACATAATGCACTCTTTTTTTTTTTTTTTTTTTTTTTTCTGCAGAGATTCATTGTTATTTGGAGGACACATTACATTATGATAAATGACACCCACAATATTACAGATAAACATTTCTAAAAGGATAAATGGTGTTCAAGTATTGTTGCCAGTGATGTGGAGAGTTTTTGTTTGTTCATTTTTTTTTAATGAATATAGTTTGTGAATTTTCTTTCCTAATGTAAAATTCTACTGCAATTTTTCTAAGTTTCTTTGTTTCATCTTGTTTTCAAAGAGAATTCATAAGAAATTACCAAAAAGGAAAATTCTTGAATGCATAGAAAACCTATTGACCTCTGACTTTGAAACACTAAATAATTGTTCCCATCAGTATAGCAGTTAGCCTTTTGCTTCTTGTTTTGTAGTATTCTGTTCAGCACTGTCACTCAGAAATTAAATAATGCATACCTTGTGGCTCTTGGACTTTGTAGAGAGCAAACAATTTTTTGTATCTGAGACAAAGTTAGGTAACCAAACTAGTTCACGGTATTCTGGGAGCAAAGAGATAAAGGTTTCTGCAAGAATTTGTACTAATCATGCTGCTGAGATAACAAATACTGCATCTGAAAAATAATGAAAAGTCATTGCTTTTGTACCTCTGTTGCCAATTTGATTCACAGTCATAGCACACAAAATAGTTCTCTTTCATATACTAATCTAACAGTCACATTGCTATATTGCCCTTCATGAACATAACCATGCATTCAGTTTGGGGATGCAGGGAAGTCACATTTTGAACAGAATAAAGCATTAAAAATCTTTCTTAATTCAATGAGTTTTAGTCAATCTTATTTATACTGTTAAGTGGTAAGTTATTATTTGAGGCAAGGGGATTCCTAGAATAGGGAAGTAAAAGCTGAAATGAATAAAAGAGAAATTTCCTAATAATTATATCAAGTTGTAGAATTTTCAGTTAGTTTTGAACTTTGGATCATTATAGCATTTATCAGAACTTCAGTTATTATTTAGCTTGTTTTAAACCTGATTTATTCAAAAGGAGGAAGAGATCTGAATATTGAACGTGTCTCCCTGAACTTGTCTGAACTTTCTCTTTTGCCTAGAGCTGTCTCAATTAACTTGAAGGATAACTGGATTTGGAGATTTCTAATTGTTTTGTTGTAGCTTTATATAGCATTGCATTTTGAACTTTCTTGGTTGTCTCAGAGGTAAAAATTGACCTATATCTGTACACTTACATATAAATTAAATACTTACAATAAGACTAGCAATTTGTTTTCAGAATTTGAAGTTTCTATGCATCCCCCTTAGGAGTCTTCACTGAACATAGGTTATTTTGCTACAAATATGTGAATTTCACCTAGTGGCTTAGCTAGTCACTGCAGTCATAGCCTTCTCTGCTGCGTCTCTGAAACTGGCAAGAAAAAATTCAAATATTTTTGCAATGGAGAATCTGGCAGCAATCATAAAACATTTGTCTCCTACTTTTCCTGAATGCACAAAGCATTCCATGCTACTGCCTATAGGAAATCACTGCTGAGACACAATCTACAAGAATATACTGTATACTCACATTTTCTAGCAGAATAAGAACTGTACTTTAGCAAAAGCAAAATCTGCAAGAAAAAGAGGCTGGTTATGAAACAACTGTTAATAAATAACTGATAAAATTTACTTTAAATATGGATTTCTTCAACAGATAAAATAACACATATAAACTAGGTTTGCCAATAAATGCTAAAATTCTATAAGCCTATGTTACAGAAACTATAGGTTAGCTGCTAAGGACATGAAGCAAAACATGTATGAAATCAAAATGACACATACAGATAAAAAATCTGGTAGTTATATTGTTGAAGGAAAGGTAGGAATGGGAAAACAAGTATGAAATATTTCAAAAGTGTGAAGATGTGTGTGTGTGCGTGAGTGTGGTGCAATATCTCTTTCTCACTAAGTGTGGTCCTCTATTTTTCTGAACTGCACAATGAGAGGACCTTGTGACTTCCTACTTATTTAAAAGATAGCAAGAGACAGAAATCAACATTTTAAACATGAACTGGAGCACCAACTGTGTTTGTAGTAGGGTTGCTTTATGGAAGGCTGCCTTCCAGACAGATACAAAAGAGATTGCTGAGTTGAAATTGCAATGATTTAGTGTTTGCAGTCTACTGACATTGCTTTGGGATCATCTGGAATTCTTCCTTCATGAAAAATTTGCCACTGTGAACTCCTCTTAATAGCTGCTGTCAAATTGAGACACATTGCTCTGACTAGGCCAAGAGTCTTGCTGATCCACTGCAAGCTTGCCAGAATGTGTCACAGGGACAAACCGTTGCACATGGTTTAAGTCAAATCAGGCACTGAAATATGAGGAAGACTGTTAAGCAAAACAGACCTGGCTGGCCTGAAAGGGTCAAACAGGGAACACGCGGCCCCTCCTGAAAGGGAAGGACTGCCACGTGAAACATGCAGCCCCTCCTGAAAGGGAAGGACTGCCATGTGAAACTGGCAAGCATAAGCTACAGCTTCTTCGTTCCATGACCAAGAGCAGAACGTGTTCTGTGGAGAGAACACCTTTTGATCACTGTACTGACCATAATCCACAAAGAGCTAATTAAGTAATGATGTATTGCTGTCAGCTGCATGAATGTTATCTGATTTAAGTATTGTATACTCCTGTAGCTAAAAGATATAAAAACCCTGTAACAACAATAAACTTTGCTTCTTGCGCCACCAGAGCCTAAGCCCGTCTGTCCCAGGCGTCTTGAGCTGGTCTCCGTCATCTGGTGCCGAAACCCGGGATACTCGGACTCCAATGACAAAGGCGTCGCTTCCTCCCACGAGCCGCGGTTGGTAAGTTGAAATAGGGAGGTAAGGACTAGGGAATTGGACAGATTATTAAATAAAATGGGACAAGCTGCAAGTACTGAACGAGGCATTTTTTCTGCAATGCTGAAATCATTATTAGTTGCCCGAGGAGTAAAAGTGACTCGGGGTCAGATTAGTCGTTTTTTAGATTTTATAGAGGAAGTATGCCCCTGGTTTCCCAGGGATGGAACTATTAATATTGAAACTTGGAACAAAGTAGGTGAAAGACTCCAGGGCTATTATGCTGTGCATGGTCCTGAGAAGATACCTATTGATACCTTTACACTTTGGACTCTAATAAAAGAATGTCTCAGAGGAGACACAGGAGATGAGAAGTGGCAGCGGACCACTCGCTCAACAGAAAAGTTATATCCTGCCTTGCCGCGATCAAAATCTCTTGATCATATCCCTTCGTCTATGCCATCGGCACCCCCACCCTCCCCTCCCCAATATGAGCAACCTTTGATTTGTAAATTAGCAAACGACTTGCCGCCTTGTAAACCTCCTGGCACTAACATGACAAAGGATATTTTACCCCCTGATGACTGGGGAGAATTAGAAAAAGAGGCTGCTGAATATCACCATAAGGACTTAGCGGCTGTATTCCCAGCGTTACAGGTTGCTAATGCTGCTGTGCAGACACAACAGATAGTCGATCAGGCTCGATCACATCCCCTTGCTGTTTTGCCTGCCTTTCGAGCAGGGCGAATGCCTCCCCCGCCTGGAGTAGATGCTTTGCTTATGCAACAATCTCCTATGCAATTGGCTTTGAAAGAAGCTAGGAAAGCTGAGGAAACAATTGATGAATTTTCTGGGCAACTTTTTCCGTCTCAAGTTTTCCCTGTCATACAGCATCAACTTGCAAACGGTGGCATTCTGAATGATTATGAGCCTATTCCTTTTAAACAACTGAAAGAGCTTAAAGCTGCTAATATTCTTCCCCCTTCTGACTGGAAAAGCTTGGCAAAGGCTGTGTTAAGTGAAGGTGAATATTTGCTTTGGACTTCCAAATATGCGGAACGGTTCTTCTTGTGCCCCTTTATTACCAGTTCCTCATTTTGGAGTGAACCCCTGAGGATTAATGCCTAATGATTTATGGCAGATAGATATCACACATGTACCTTCTTTTAGAAAATCTTCTTATGTCCATATAACAATTGACACTTTCTCTCACTTTGCGGTAGCCCTCAGCCTTGTCTGGTGAAAAACTCTCTCATGTATGCAACCATCTTTTGCATTGTTTTAGCGTTATGGGAACAATGAAATCATTAAAAACCGATAACGGGCCAGCTTATGTAAGTAACGGTTTTGCAACCTTTTGTCGACATTTTAAAATTTACCATAAAACTGGAATTCCATATAATCCAGAAGGCCAAGGCATAGTAGAAAAATTTAATCATTTATTGAAAACTCAACTAAAGAAAATAAAAGGGGGGACATGAGGAAATAAAGATACTCCATCCTCTATGTTATCACATGCATTATTTGTTTTAAACTTTTTGACACTGGATGATAACAGAAAATTGACTGCGAATAGATATTGGAGTAATAAAACAAGAGATAAACCAATACAATATTGGAGAAATCCAATGGACGGTAAAATTTATAGTCCTGATCCTGTACTAATTTGGGGCAGAGGATATGCTTGTATCTTCCCTACAGATGAAACCTCACCATGGTGGATACAGGAGAGATATGTCCGACATGCCAAAAACAAAGATGGAAAACTGCGGAGGAAGATGCAGAGACTGACACTAACCCAGACGTGGGAAAGAAAGATGCAAGTGAGAATACGACTCGTGGCCCTAATCCTTAGTACCTTTTGGATCCTACATCATGGCTGTAAAGCAGAAACATATTGGGCATTTGTACCCAATCCTCCTATCATTCATCCAGTAACATGGGATGCACCCGTGGACATTCCGGTTTACAACAATCAAACAATGTTTATGGGGCAATATTCAGATGGACACATAATAGAGTTCTCTGCACGTTTTAATTATTCTGGAAAAGTTGATGGTATGCCTATATGTTTTCAGATGAATCAAACACAATCCCTGTGTGAGAAAGTGGTAGTGCAAAATGATTGGGATACCAATGTTTCAACAGGAATTCATTGGGCTCTGAATTTTCTCTATATAGATTTAGCTAATGGGACAAGAGGTTCTGGAATGCCTCCCTTAAATTTTCCTTTATGTCAAAGCACAATCACTCCAAAAACAGAATTTGCACCTTTATGGAGAGCATGTCGAGCTAACGAAACAGTGTGCATTAATTCCACTATCTGATATTGGAATATGATAGGAAATCAAGGGCGACCAATTAATTTGGTCTCAGGAATTTGGACAAAAAACAATCATACGTTCTATTCTAATTTATGGAAAGCAGTCGCAGCTATGGAAAAAATCAAAGCAAAACGATTAAACTTGACTTGGATTCAAATAAATAATAAATGGGCAATGACTGCAGAGAGTTATACAACTGAATTTTATATGCGAGCTTGTGTTCCAGAACCTTATGCCTTTTTAAGCGGACCACTAAATATTGTGAATAGCATAGTGAGTTGTACCGATTGTGTAATCTCTAATTGTCTTAATAGTAGCAGTAGTTCCTTCTTGTTAGTAAAGCAACCCGATTACATCTATCTTCCTGTAAATTTGACACATTATTGGTATGCTGATAAGGGAATGGAAATTCTCCAAGAAACTTCTTTGCAATTAATAGAGAGATCTAAGCGAATGGTCGGATTAATAATAGCCGGAATAGCTGCGCTCATTGCTGCCATAGCAGTAACTACAGTAGCTTCTATTTCTTTAACAACTAGTATTCAGACAGCAGCTTATGTTAATGAATTATCAATTAATGTATCTAAAGCATTACAAAATCAAGCTACATGGGATGAAAAGATTGAACTGCGTCTCAATTCCTTAAAGGATACAGTAGACATCCTGGGAAGACAGTTACAAATTATAGCTACTCGTGAATCTCTCTTGTGTCACGCAGAATACCGAGCTATCTGTGTGACGCCTGTTGAATACAATAATACTAAATTCTCTTGGAACAAAATACAAGATCATCTTCAAGGCATATGGAATAATGCGAACACGTCATTAGATCTTAGGGAATTGAGACAGCACATTCACGATATGATACAATCACACCATTTAGATCTTTCAGTAGCAACTCAAACTACTACATTTATAAGCACTCTAAAATCTGCATTTCCGTCCTTCAAATCATTTAGAAAAGGAATTTATGGGCTGACAGTCATTGCAATAATAATAATCATAGGAATTCTTGCTTGTCCGTGCTTGATGAAAATGATAACAAATAGATTCCAAAATTTGCGTATAAATCTTAAAAAATTGGAGATGGAAAACACAAAAAATAAACCACCACCACCTCTGGTCTAATAAAATAAAAAAGGGTGGAATGAGGAAGACTGTTAAGCAAAACAGACCTGGCTGGCCTGAAAGGGTCAAACAGGGAACACGCGGCCCCTCCTGAAAGGGAAGGACTGCCATGTGAAACTGGCAAGCATAAGCTACAGCTTCTTCGTTCCATGACCAAGAGCAGAACGTGTTCTGTGGAGAGAACACCTTTTGATCACTGTACTGACCATAATCCACAAAGAGCTAATTAAGTAATGATGTATTGCTGTCAGCTGCATGAATGTTATCTGATTTAAGTATTGTATACTCCTGTAGCTAAAAGATATAAAAACCCTGTAACAACAATAAACTTTGCTTCTTGCGCCACCAGAGCCTAAGCCCGTCTGTCCCAGGCGTCTTGAGCTGGTCTCCGTCAGAAATAGTTCACTGATTTTTTAATGATGTTCAGCTGCTAATCAGTGTACTATGTATTCAGAGTTAGTATCAACAGCACAGTATAGCCTACAAAATTTCTGTAAACTACCACACACTCCTAAATACCTGCTTATAACAAGTCCCAGAACATTCCAAGCCACTCCTCACATTTAGTTACATGCATAGACACACTCCCCACATGGCATGTTGGTTACTAGCATATGACCCTTTCTTATGAGTGTGCATTTCTCTATTTTCACAAAACTTTTCTGGGAGACAGGAGTGCTCTTACTCTACACCCATTCAGTTCCCCACAACAAGTTGCCCATGAGAACACATACACTCATTCAAAATCTGGTGATCTATTTTGTTACATCTTTCATATTGAGGCTGCTCGTTGATGCAGTCTACTTAGAGCACCTGATGGAAAGAAAATTGCATCTGTTCTATACAGAGGTCCTGATGCCTACCTAACAGCTGTTAATATGTTCTCAGGTCATTGAAATGTATGACTCAGGTCACTGAAACTGAGCACCTGTTACTTCCTTTAGAAAATTGTTGTAGTACTCTGTAGGCTCTTTTTTTTGATTCAGCTGAAGGTGGTATTTTTGTACAGTTTTCTGCCTTCAGTTTCCATGAAAGAAGATTTATAGGCACCTTTTAGTATGCAGAAGAAAGTAAAGACTGTCCAGTTCAATTTACTTCTTACACTCGTCCAAAGGAAACTACTGAGAGAATGAAAATTTAGTAGTGAGAAAATAATCAGTAAAATAATGTGAATCAAACACAAATTATATTGGAAAAAGTTTCAATTCAGTTTTGTGTTGAGAAACAGCAATTAAAATGATTTTAAAAGACCTGTTTATATTTTGCAAAGCATCTACTTTAAAAAATTAGTATGTTCATAATGCTGACAGTGGTTGTGGTAACAACTGTAAATTAGGCACCAGAAACTGTGAAATATGGTAAGGGTAGGAATTAACTTTGTTAAATGCTGAATATTAGAGGAAGAAATATTATCTCATGGGATTTGACAGCCTAAGAGAAGCTACTGCATCTCAGATTTCGAGGTACAAAAGAAGTAAAACTGAAGATACAGACTCAATAAACATAGGCAAGTAGACAACATACATATGCCACATATGTACGCATATACATATAACCAGCTATAAAGATCACAGGCAGCTGTATGGAGCATTCAACATAGACATAAACAATACTAACATACCCATCCTGTTTCCCTCTCTGGCTGAGCTAGAGGAAGGTCCATCACTAGGAATACATATTTATACTTTTATATATTGTATTGGGATTGCGTGGAAACGTTTTGGTAGCAGAGCAGAGTTGCAGGGCTGGCCTAGGTAAGAATAACCCAAAAGCTGCAAAAGGGAGCCACCACTGGCCAGAGCTCAGCCATGGGCAATGCTTGGGTGTGCCCCAGGGAGAGCAGATTTATGAAAGGGAAAAATTGTTGTGCAACAGCAGCTTGGATCCACGTCTTCCTAGGTGTTGGCAATTGAACATATAAGCCCCTTGAGGCTATAGCTCCACTGAAGTTGCTGGTAAAGACTGTTAACTGCTCACACACTCATACAGCCAGAAAGAACTCTGACTCTCTGGGGACTCCCCTGTCCACAACCACCCATAGTCCTGAGCTTCCAGACACACTACAAGCTAATTTGCATTGACCTTTCCTCATTCATACAATCACTAACAATCACATCCCCACACATCATTCTGATGCTGGCACAACAGACACATAGGCCACTGATCCCTTATCAGCGGCTAGCACTCATCTTCACTCACTTTGTCTCTCCAGTTGCTGGAACCCAGGCATATGGGCCCTCCAGCTCACAGTTCCAGCACAATGGCTGGCACACAGACCCATACTCATTTCAGCTGCTGGCAGCACAGACATACAGACCCTCCAATGCACATTTCATTGGCTTGTGCTCACACATACAAGAACGCGTGCACTAAATAGGGAGTGCCTCGTCCAGGGAAAGAGTTAGGAACTGAGTAAGAAGATAGAACAGACTGGGCTGATTAGGCACAGAGCATGGACAGACAAATATAACGAGCAGAAAATTATTTACCCACAGCCAGTATTTTTTATCCCCTTACCTGTTTCTTATTCCATATTATTCCTCCCCAAATCACCTAAACACATTCATTTCCCTGGTTTCTCTTTTGGTAATGTCTCCTTCGGTAATGTCTCTTTCACTTGTTTTTAATTTGGGTTTATATGCCATTGTGCCCCTTAGTTCCTATGACCCTGTGGAGCTTGTAAAGGCTGATTATTCTCCTTATGGTGA